ACTGCCGCTGATGCCGGTGCTGCCGCTGATGCCGGTGCTGCCGCTGATGCCGGTGCTGCCGCTGATACTGATATCGGCACCTTGAAGATGGTGTGCGGGTTAGTGAGCAAGACTCCGATTGGCCGGGCAACGGAGGTGGAGATGTCCTGGAATAGGAGTGGATGTTTCCTGTTAGCCAAGCAGTCTGGTGCTGTGGACGTAACGGGCAAGAGTTACTACGGCACGAGTAAGTTGCATCTGATTCAGGTGTCGGTAGCGGCGGGTCAGAAGGAGCCAGTGGAGTTGGGTCAGGTGCGATCTGTGGCAACGAATGTGCAGTTCTGGTCCTGGAATGCGGTTCAGAACAACAGCTTTTTCGTTGGACACGGACCGTTGCCGTGTGTGATGGAGGTATGGAACGCAGTGGCATGCAAGCCGAGTATAAAGTTGGGTGAGGAGCGGCGGAACTTTTTGCGATGCTGTCACTCACTGCCACTGCCACCCGCCACGGAGCCGGGTAGCAAGCCAGATCGGCGTGCCAAGTTGGGGCTAAATATGGCGGTCATTGGCGGCTTCGGAAACTTGCCGGGCGATGTGGAGGTATGGGACATTAGCAAGCAGGAGATCATCGGACTCACCAAGCTGCCCTGGACAGTTGACCTATCCTTCTCACCAGACGCCTATTGGCTGCTAGCCAGCACCACCACTCCAAGATTGCGCGTAGATAACTGTCTCAAAATCGTCCGTGTCAATGGGGAACCCGTTTTGGAAAAAGCATTTGACGAACTCTACCAAGCCGACTGGCGACCTGTACCTGTACAGCATGCTCGTGCACTCTCCCCCGGACGCGGCGTCTACAAACCCAAGGCGAATAATACCCTTGAAGGCCTCTTCAAAACCAAAAAGGAAACCTCCTCTGGCCTCTTCGGACGAGTCATGACCGGAACCAACGAAAAACGCAGCCTTACTGCTACCCAACTCGGAAGCAATGCCACCACACAAACCAAGCCCGCACGCACCGTCCCCGGCATGGTCCCCGGCATGACCATACCCGCAAACAACAACAAAGGTATCGATGTAAACTCCACACACCTGGCGTGGACACGTGTGTGTGTGTCGACACACACTCCCCTGTGGTGACCCCCTGCGGTGACGCTACATTACACACGTTTTATGTACTACACACCTGTTATGTAGGAAGTCGGAAACGACTGGGCTAGGATGTCGGAGATGCAGCTGGCGAAACAGGCGGTCAAGTTAAACCGGCAGCTCCACCGGGCGTACGACATCAGCCAGAAAGCGGCAATCAAGGCGCAACTGGACGCCATTACGGCCGAGTGTGTCCGACGTCGCTCTCAGTCGTCTTGACCGGCCACTCTCAGCGGAGGCCGGCCACTCCCAGCCGAATTTTC